ATAGATCGTTCAGGTTTAGCTCTAGAAAATCTTCACCCTCCAAAGTCTATCCCCCAGCTTCACAAAATCCCTACCCAATCTTCTATGTCCAACAAAATTTCCAAACTCCGCATCTTAATCTCCCAGCTCCACATTACCAAAATACCCTCCAAACTACCAGACTCCAAAACAAAATTACCAAACTCAACCATACCCAAAATTCCAAACACCAGCACCTCCCTGCCAAAATCCTTTAAATTACAGCCAAGTACCTCCACCTCCACAAAATAACTATGACCTTCCTTGTCCGAACTTTGATAGGAAACCTTCTAGAATTTTCACTCCTCCCGTTGAAAGTCAAACTAAATTGTTCGAAAGATTGAAAGTTGTAGGCATGCTTCATCCCATCGAACCCAAACCTGCCAACACAAACTCTAAATTCTTTAGAGCTAATCAGATATGTGCATAGCACTCCAATAGTGCAGGACATACCACTGAAGATTGCATCAACCTGAAGCATAAGATTCAAGACTTAATTGATCACAAAGTGGTCACTCTTGAGACTACCACTCCTAATGTGTATAGTAATCCTTTACCGAATCATGGGGGAGATACTATTAATATGATTGAAATAGAAAAGGATTGGGGTGCTTCTGAGACGATAGTCCCATCAAATCTTGACAGGCTTGAGAAGGTTGTAGCCTCTCTAAGCATAATCAAGAAGCTCAAGTTTGTGATAATAACACCCCATAAAGCTTTTGTTTTGGGGCCAAAGAAGGGCCTTACTGAGAAAGAGTTTGTGATAATGGCACCTCATCAAGCTTTTACTTCAGTGCCAAAGAAAGGTCTTACCAAGAAACAGTTTGTGATTGAGACCGCTACCACCCATGGTATGACTAGATTGGGTAGATGTTATACACCAAAAGAATTGGCTCAAGGAGGCCACAAGAGAGACCTCCAGAAAAGTCCAATCAGTGAAGCCAAAGCCGAGGCATTTTGGCGAAGAATGCAACCTAAAGAGTATTCCATCATGAAACATTTGGAGAAGACACATGCTCAAATTTCTGTGTGGGCATTATTGATGAGTTCACAGCAACACAAGCACGCTTTGTTAAAGGCTTTGAATGAGACTCACGTATCGGTGGGGACAAGTAGTGATAATCTCGCATCCATGGTAAGCAAAGTCATCAGAGGCAATCATGTTAGTTTTCGCAATGAAGAGTTGCCTTGTGAAGAGGTAATGCATAACAAAGCCTTGCACATCACAATCAAGTGTCGGGACAAGATTGTGAATCATGTTTTGATAGATGACGGATCTGGCCTTAATATTTGTCCATTGTCAACTCTCAAGCAACTGAATTTTGATCTTGAGAAGATTTGTCAGAACCAAATCAATGTGAGAGTTTTCGAGAGGGGTCAAAGAGAAATATTGGGCGTTGTTAGTTTGGGTATTGAAGTAGGACCTGCAGATTTCATTGTCGAGTTCCAGGTGATGGACATCACCACTAGCTACAATCTTTTACTCGGAAGACCTTGGATCCCTATGGCTGGGGTCGTGCCCTCTATCCTCCACCAGTTGATGAAGTTTGTGTGGAATGATCACGAAGTAGTTATTCATATTGAAGGAAGACATTCAAATGACTATGCCCCGATTGTCGACGATATTGTTAGAGGTTCTGACTTATATACAGTAGGGATAGTGAATGCTCCAGGTGATGATTTTGCCTCACATCCTTCTATGCCTTCCGTTTACAAGATGATAGCTATATTGATGTTGAGAAGTGGATTTGAACCTGGGTTTGGGTTGGGAAAATATTTGCAAGGTATCACTTAGCCTATTTGAGTTTTCAGAAAAGGTTCAAAGTTTGGCTTGGGATACATCCCAATAGCAAATGATGAGATGGAAGCTTCAAGTAACAAGGTGGTTGATTGGGAATTAGCAAAATTGGTACCTCACTTGTACCAGTCTTTTTAAGTGCGAGAATATGTCAATAATGATGGCCTCGGGGAGGAAATCGGGAATCTTTTTGCAGATTCTGATGATGTGCTTGAGGAGATGATCGAGATGCCAAACCAGAAGAGCAAGTGCCTAATTGGCCATCCACACAACTCCTGGTTCCTCACTCGTCTTAGTAGAGAAGACATATTTATTTTGCTTATTTCTAAAATTGGTGGTAGTCTAAATAAGGCCTAAGACCCACCCTTTATGTCGTTTTACCTCTTTAAGCTTTAATTTCCCTCGTGATGTTTGGAAAGGCAGATTGTCCTATGGTCACGGCCAAAGTTTGTACTTTCTTTTAATCTAAATGAATGACTCCTCTATTGCTTAAATCTATTTATTCACAACTTACTAATTTGTTTTAAACTTTTTTTAATCTGACATGGCTTATTTATGATTTCAGTAAAAATAACATAAAATCTACCAATATCATGTCATGTCATAAGTTGAGTGAGCAAAATGAGATATATGAGAATGAGTTCAAGGAATATGATGAACAGACCATGGTTCTGGAACACCTCGTAGAAGAATTGAAACAATTTGAGAATCAAGAGAAGCCAAACTTAGAGGAGACTGAGACCGTGACCCTGGGAGACGAAGAAAATGTTAGAGAAACCAGGATCAATGTCCATCTCACAAAAACTCAGAAAGAAGAGCTCATCATTTTTCTTAAGCAGTACATCGATGTATTTTCTTGGTCTTATGATGATATGCCCGGATTGAGCACATATATTATTTCTCACAAGTTACCGATCAATCCAGATTTCAGTCCGGTAAAGCAGAAAAGTCAGAAGTTTAAGCCAGATTTGAGTTTGAGAATTAAAGAAGAAGTAACCAAATAGATTCAAGCCAAATTTGTGGAGGTTACTAAGTATCCAACTTGGTTAGCCAATATTGTTCCAGTGCCTAAGAAAGCTGGTAAAATTAGAATATGTGTAGATTATAGAGATCTCAATAAAGCAAGTCCCAAAGACAATTTTCCATTGCCGAATATCCACATTCTAATTGACAATTATGCTAAGCATGAAATACAATCATTTGTGGATTGCTTTGCGGGTTATCATCAAATTTTGATGGATGAAAAAGATGCTCAAAAGACGGCTTTCATTACACCATGGGGTGTTTATCATTACCGGGTAATGCCATTTGGTCTTAAGAATATCGGGGCCACATACATCAGAGCCATGACAGCTATCTTCCATGATATGATCCATAAGGAGATTGAAGTATATGTGGATGACGTAATCATCAAGTTTCGCAAGAGTTCAGATCACTTGAACCATTTGAGAAAGTTCTTTGATCGGTTGCGTCAATACAACTTGAAGTTGAATCCCGCTAAATGTGCTTTTGGAGTACCCACTGATAAATTATTGGGTTTCATAGTTAGTAGAAGAGGCATTGAGCTTGATCCTACCAAAGTCAAGGCGATTCAGGATTTACCGCCTCCGAAGTCTAAGAAAGAAGTTATGAGTTTCCCTGCAAGACTGAACTACATCAGTCGATTCATAGCTCAATCCATAGTAGTTTGCGAGCCTATTTTTAAGTTGTTGAAAAAAGATGCAGTGACGGTGTGGACCAAAGAGTGTCAAAAATCTTTTGATACTATCAAAGATTATTTGACAAATCCACCAGTATTGGTACCTTTGCGAGAAGGAAGTCCATTTTTACTGTACTTGTCCATCTCAGAGAATGCATTCGGGTGTGTATTAGGACAACATGATGAAACTGGAAAGAAGGAACGCGTGATCTACTATCTTAGCAAGAAGTTTACTCCATATGAGGCTCGGTACACTCTATTGGACAGAACATGTTGTGCTCTGATTTGGATCACCTAAAAGCTGAGGCATTATTTGTCTTCATATACTACATATCTTATTTCCAAGATGGATCCATTGAAGTATATTTTCCAGAAAGCTATGCCGACTGGAAAATTGGCGAAATGGCAAATGCTTCTGAGCGAGTTTGACATTGTGTATATTACTCGAAAACGGTAAAAGGACAAGCATTAGCCGTTCATCTTGCATAAAATCCAATCAATGAAGAATATGAACGGCTCAAAACATACTTCCCTGACGAAGATGTGTTGTTCATAGGAGAAAGCATTTCTGAGTCATACCCTAGTTGGAGGGTATTCTTTGATGGAGCAGTGAATTATAATGAAGCCGGAATTGGAGCGGTTATGATATCGGAATCTGGCCAACATTACACCGTGGCGGCTAAACTTTGATTTCATTGCACCAATAATATGGCGGAGTACGAGGCTTGCGTTCTTGGCATAATGTTAGCCATCGACAAGAATGTCCAAGAGTTGCTGGTAATTGGATATTCAGACTTGTTAATTCACCAGGTTCAAGGGGAATGGGCCGTGAAGAATCCAAAGATTGTACCATATGTACAATTGGTGTAAAGATTGTGCAAAAGATTTCGAAAGATAGAGTTTATGCACACTCCAAGGTTGCAAAATGAATTTGCTGAAGCTCTTGCCACTATCTCCTCTATGATCAAGAATCCAGATCAGAATTACATCGATCCTTTGGAGATAGATGGAATTACATCGATCATTTGGAGTTAGATTTAAAGGAACAACCCGCTTATCGTTCGCATGTCGAAGCGGAACAAGACAGAAAGCCTTGGTATTATGATATAAGGAAGTACCTCGCGACTGGAATTTATCCAGAAGATGCGACATCCAATCAAAAGAAGGCAATACATCGATTGACTAACAATTTCTTTCCAAGTAGGGAAATCCTTTATAGGAGGACTCTAGATTTTGGACTCCTCAGGTGTGTAGATTCCATAGAAGCTACAAGACTTCTCGAGGAAGTACGTGCTGGAGTCTGTGGACCCCATATGGACGGGCTTACCTTGGCAAAAAAGAACCTTTGAGCCGGTTATTTTTGGATGACTACGGAGCACGATTGTTGTAGAATTGTGCAAAAGTATCATAAATGTCAAGTACATGGTGATTTGATCCTACTACCCCCTCACGAACTTAATGTCATGGTATCGCCTGGCCTAGGGCATGGATGTCATTGGCCCAATTGAGCCAGCCACCTCTAATGGACATAGATTTATTTTGGTTGCCATTGATTACTTCACCAAGTGGGTGGAAGCAAATTCTTATAAATCTGTGACGAAGAAGGTAGTAACTGATTTTGTTCGTAACAACTTGATATGTCGATTTGGACTACCTAATTCCATTATTACATGCAATACTGCAAAGCTCAATAGTCATTTGATGAAGGAGATATGTGAGCAATTCAACATTACTCACCGAAATTCGACTGCTTATCGTCCTCAAATGAATGGAGCCGTAGAAGCTGCCAATAAGAACATCCAAAAGATTTTGAGAAATATTATTGATAATCACAAAGGTTGGCATGAGATGTTACCATATGCTTTGTTGAGATATCGAACAACCGTTAGAACATCAATCGGAGCAACCCCATACTTGTTAGTATATGGGACAGAAGCAGTGATACCTGCTGAAGTTGAAATACCTTCATTAAGGATCATTCAAGAAGACAAACTGAGCAATACTGATTGGGTTTGTAATCAAATTGAATACTTAGCCTTAATTGATGAAAAGAGGATGACCGCTGTTTGTCATGGCCAATTATATCAACAGAGAATGATTCGTGCTTTCAACAAAAAAGTGAGATCTCGAACATTTGAAGAAGGACAATTGGTCCTCAAACGCATCTATCCCCATTAAGATGAGTATAAGGGGAAATTTGCACCAAATTAGGCAAGGACCATACATGGTTCGTAAGTGTTATCTGGAGGTGCCTTGATCCTGTCAGAGATGGATGGCCAGAAGTGGCCAAAACCAATCAACTTAGATGCTGTCAAGAGATACTACGTCTGAAGATTAGTTTTTCTCTCATCACTTTCTTTGTAATCGTATCATTTGCTTGTAATTGCTTATGCCAAGTTTTTATATCCTTGTATTGAACTACGTCTGACCTGAATTCTCAAAAATGAGATACGTAGGCAGTCTATGTCGGCCTCAGTCATTTTTTAATTCAAATTTCCTCTTTATTTTATTCCCAAAAGGGGATCTACGTTTGACCTGATTCATGCCTCAACGGGATACGTAGGCGCCACAACGGCTTGGTCATACACCCCATAAAATTTCCATTTCCCTTTATAATGGAAACTGGGGCATAATTTTTGGGAGGAGCTCAAAAAATTCTAAAGATCCTTCGCTAGCAAGACAAGATTGAGCATGCATTAGGAAAAGGCAACTAGGGCAGAATTTTGAGAAGATCTCAAAAATTCCGCAAGTCTTCCTACCAAAGATTTGAGAAATGCCAAAACATTTCACTGGGGCAGAATTTTTGAGAAGAATTCTATCAAGTACTGTCAGAAGTTCAAAGTTAATGACAAGTAATATCCAGCGTGATCAGAAGCTCAATGAACCCCAATATATCAGAAATTCAAAGTTAAACTTCATTTATCTTTCGATTTTCCCAGCTTAAAAAGGACTTTTAGATTGGATATATCGAAGCTTGAGCTAAAGTGTTCACTTAAGCTTTAATGTGACATGACACTTGGCGGTGACCCTCATCAAATTACTTTTCAAAAATCTATTTTTTCTTAAAAATTTAGACATATATCAAATATTTTGTATAAAATATAGATCTATCTTATGTCTACCAAGAAGTGGGAAGCTAGAAGTAATCAACCAAAGATAGCAAGAGGAAGAGCAAGCAATCAAAGAAGTCAACACATATTAGTTCATTTAAAACTAATAATTTTTCTGTGTATGCAGGATTACAAGGATCTCAAGAGATCATCATGTTCAACAAATATAGGAAAGTCAGAAGAGCAAAAGCGCCCAAGACTGACATTTTCTTTATGCAGGAAAGGCATTGATATTCCTGCGATAAGAAGTAGTTAACTTGGTATTTTGAATAACAATTTCTTGTTCATATTTCTCAACAAAAATAGTAGCCACACCGAAGATATAAGTGGTCAAAGAAAAGTAGGTGAAAGCATGGAGAGGATGGCACTTTAAGATTTACAAATGACTATAATAACGTCATATTGCCTTTTCCAGCATCAAAGATGTCTGAAGGGAACACGTAAGACACATCAAATATCAGAGAGAATTTGAAGTGCAACTTGCCAAAAAATATTCATTATCACGTTAAAATCGAAGAAGGCTAACGTTGAAGGATATTTGTAAGTCACATCCATACCAGACACGGTGATGTGCATTGCCGAAAGGCCATTTCATATCATATTACCAAAGGTGGTAATATCATTGTCGAAAGGCCATTTCATATCATATCATCAGAGGTGGTGATGTCATAGACAAGAGGGCGGTTACACATTCAAACCGCCGAGAGGGACATCATATCATCCAATGTCGAGACGGCCATTGTATTTTCAAACCGCTGAGAGGGCCATCATATATGCAAATGCCAAAAGGGACATTGCATCTTCAAACTGTCGAGAGGGCCATCATATGTGCAAATGCCAAAAGGGTCATTGCATTCTCAAACTGCTGAGAGAGCCATCATATATGCAAATGCCAAAAGGGACATCCCATCTTTGATGTGAGGTCAAAATACATATTTTTAATCATTATTTACCTCATATTTATTATTTATATTTGTCCTTTTTGAGCATTAATTTTATAAATTGTGCTAAATAGTGTATTTTATTTGTAGGAATAAATTGACGTAAAGTTGAAGAAGTTTGGAGCTAAAACGAATTAAAGATGAAAGGTTGAAGAAGGAAATCAAACAGGCAGCTTAATGAATTAAATTTAATATAATATTATATAAAATATAAAGTTGCAGCGTTCAAATTGAAAAAAGAATATGCTGCCACGTGGCAGTCATTGAAGGCATCTCCAAGACTCCAACTATTGAAGGCGGCGGAAGTCTAAGGCGGTTACTGTTCACGCGTTTTCGTAGGAATTCAATTCTGTTTGGGTTTTAATTTCCTAATTTGTCTTGAACTCAATTATTTTATTTTAGGGTTTCTACATCTATAAATAGTGCATAAAAATAATTATTAG